CTCCGAAAGACAGGCAATATGGTAATGAGTGGAATGAATAGTGAGTCTTCTCTGTGTGTGTCCGAGCATGTGTGTGTGTACGTGTCCAGCTGCTCTCCTGGCCACCGCGGCCATTACTGAGCAGTACCAAGCAGCAGAGCATGACACACACCAGCTGGATGTGCGCACACCTCCACCGAGGGCAGAAGCCTGTGCCAATGAGACAAGGAGGAAGAGAGGAAGTGAGGAATGAAAGGATAGGGGAAGAGACAGAGGGACCGGGGTGCCACAGCTGAGGGAACAGGACAGATAAAACAGATTTAGCACTGACAAACTGAACAACATCAGCACCACACACCAACCAAACGCAGAACAGCATTCAGAACTAGATTTCCCAGGCCTGCGAGATGTCCACTATATGTCATATTGTCATGGTGACCATCAGAGCAGCCATAAATTCAACTTGAATCAACTGCATTAGGAAGTGTGTGAGTGCACATGTTTGTGTGGCCTTGACACATGGACGCTGCCATCTACAGTGTGACTACAAGGCATTTCTCCTCTCACCATCTTCTTTGAATCTCACTCTCATGCAGATTTTCACAGGTACCCCAAGCCGATGATAAAGAAAAACATTATGCATGGATACTTGGGGGGCGAGGGGATTGCAAAAAAAGATTATGCATACACCAGAAGATAAATATATTTTCTCTTCTTGCCTCATTCCCTGCCCTCACTTGCAGCCCCTCTCCCTCTCTTGCCTCATTTTCTATTCCTGAGTCCAGCTGCATTATTCCTGCTCTCCCTCCCTACCCCTCCACTGTCTGGCCGGCTGACACTGAACGATAGAGCATTCTGTCACGCTGTTTGGAACACACAGAACATCGCTTGTCAGCACAGGGACGACAATGGCTGGCGCAGAGTGGAGAGTACGGCGAAAAAAGCAAAAACATTCTACCTCAACCTACTTCTGTCTTTGTTTAAAAGCCATTACAGACAGACTGGAGTCCTCTTTTCTTGGCTGGAAGTCAGCAAGCGTCTCATTTTGTGTTTAAAATGTTTGTTTTTTTTCCAACCAGCAAAATGCAGGAGATGCTAATTCACTCAAGCTGCAGTTATTAAAAAGCATCAAATGAATCTAATGTTGTTTGGCCCTAAAAACTTCCAAGAGCCTCTTACATCGATTAACTCTGCAGGCAAGCAAAGCATTCAGTGACGAGATTTTTTTTTCTTTTCTTTTCAGTGTGATACATTATTGATGCAGTTCAAAAACTAATTCAGCTTAAACTGATGCAGACAGCCTCCCTGATACAAACTTGTTTTACACAGTCTCAGTTTTCTCTCAGATTGGTCTTCATCTTAAAGGGATTTTCACTCCATTGTTCCATTTTTCCTGTCATTTTATCTATATCAGAACATTTAAACCCACACAACTCTCATTTTTTTTCTTTCTAAGTAAGAAATGGAAGTTTTGTGTATTTATTATCATCATGTCTATTTATTGTTGGTTTTGATAACTGAAGTAAACGAACTGTTTTAATGATCTGTGTGATCCCCAAGTTTTAGAAATAAGTTTGTAATTATTTTTTTTCCTGACCTGTTCAACTAGAATTCAAAACCGCCTGACAATTACCTCTTTTTAATTAACAAATTTTATGATAGTCATTGCAATGTGTTCATCTTGCATTTGATGCCGGACTTGTAGTTGCTTTCCAGACTTTAATTAGGAAAAGCACAGGTGTAACTAATTTTATTAATAGTGGTTGTGTTCCATTAAAGTGTCCACACCGGCCATATCAGTAAGCCGGCAGGCATAGACCTGAACTATTAAATCAAAACTAAATGAAATTCTGTCAACTTTACTGTTGCTGTGTATAATTACGGATACCAATTTCCATCTCCCTTTATGGCAGGATATGAAGCAATGATATTGCTTCCCGACATATTAGGCTGGAGGGGCTAAGGCATGTGCAAATGTGCTCTGGCTGATGAGACTGATGTTGAATCCTTTTGTCATCCAAAACACATATAAGAAGTAACTTTTAAAGCTCCCATGAGGAATTTGGTCTGGTTATGAAACAGACTGAAATGAATACTGATGCCTCTTTATGACCCACAAAAGCAAATGAAACCATCAACATCGTTACTGAATATTCCTGGAGTTATCCTAAATGTGTGAAACTTCTGGTCACTCTGCCAAAACAGCCTGTCTCTCTCTCTCTCTCTCTCTCTCTCTCTCTCTCTCTCTCTCTCTATCTATCTATCTATCTATCTATCTCTCTATCTATCTATCTATCTATCTCTCTCTTTCTCTCTCTCTCTCTATATATATATATATATACATACATACACATATATGTATATATATACACATATACATATATACATATATACATATATACATATATATATATATATATATATATATATACACACACATACATATACATACATATCAGTGGCGGCTGCTGGTCTTTCAATGAGGGGAAGCTCATTTTTCTGGCCTACATCATAATTGTATTTGTTTATTAGTATGTAACAGAACAGAGTCGCCAAACACAACGGCAGTCGTTTTTAATAAAGACAGAAGTCGCTGAGGATCGGTAAAGTCTCCGGAGCAGTTAAGAACAACGGAATGAATGACTTGGAAAATGCTCTGGTAGATGTTTTATTCTTCAAGATCGCTGATTCGCTTGTTTAGCTGTCAATCAAAAAAGGATTTCGCCTCAGACAGCTCATCCAATCATGGATGCAGAAGCTTGCAGTCCGGGAGAAAGTCGGGACCGCCCTCTCGCCATAGAACTCCAGTGAAGCTTAGCTTCCATTGGGCGGGACAAAGCCCAGCATTTATCCAATGAGCGTCTAGTTTCGCTGCTGGAACAACCCACTTTTAGCTTCCACATTGAAGTCAGCAGAAGCCCAGCGTCCGGCTGTTTAAAGCGCTGAGGCGCTGCGAGGATGAATGAGAACGAAGTTATGCCGGTTACCTATAATTATCAGCTTCTTATCACAGTGTCTGAACAAAAGATGAAGGCTTTCTAGTGCGTATTTAGTTAATGAAATGTACACACAGCAGTACGTATTTCACCACTTTTTCTTTTTTTGGGGGGGGTGACATTTTAAGGGAAGCCGAGCTTCCCTTGCAGTCTTAGAGCAATCGCCACTGATACATATATACATATATACATACATATATAAATATATATATAGCCTACATACATATATAAATATATATATACATATATACATACATATATAAATATATATATATATATATATATATATATATATATGTATATATACACATATACATATATACATATATATACACATACACACATATACATATATACATATATATACACATACATATACATACATATATACATACATATACATATATAGACATACACACATATATATATATATATATATATATATATATATATATATATTAGACAGGGCAAAATCTGTGAAATGAGAGGTACTGTTTTTATGCAGGTGGTGCCACAATCAACACAAACACAAAACTTCTCTCCAGAGGAAAACTCGCAAATCTTATTGTTTTTCCAACGTGACATTGCAAATCTGTAATCATTATTGCCATGTTCATATGTCTACTTAAAGTACCAGTAGATTCAGGTTTTTGATTGCCATGTGATTTTATTATAATAGGCTGTAAAATTTTTCAAAAATCTGGGAATTTCCTTTTAGCACAATACATTTTTGTGAGCATGTAATATTTATCTGCTCTCATAGATACTGCACCCACTCACCAGGGGGAGCGCTAACAGTTCTAATTACACTCAGGATGGCTGTTCTTTCCATGTTTTATTCAGACTCACCAAAGGCAGAAAACTACAGTGGTAATAAAAGGGAAAGCTCAAGACAGCCTAAGCTAACACGCAAGCAAACTAGTGCTCACATTTGGAGACCATGCAGCTACACTGGTAGTCATTCAAACAAGAGTTTCTGGCGACTGAATTGCTACAAGTTCAAAATCAAACTATTTAGCCTTGTTTTTCTATTCACTTAAACTAGCCAAGTATTATTTTGCTTTAGCTGCCAAGTTTAACAAGCTAGCAGCAAGTTTAGGGTTACCATACATCCTCTTGTTCCTGGACATGTCCTCTTTCTGGGGGGCTTGTTTGGCTTTGTCCGGGGAAGTTTATAAAATCCTTCAAATGTCTTCGGTTTTGTATGGAAGTTTCGAGTTTGTGTCACGTGGACTTACTGAGTTACAAGTGTGTAAAAGACAATCCGACCCGAAGAGCTCTCAAAATTAACTCTGTGCGACTCCGTGACTCCGCCCCCATGTAGTTGTGTCCTCTTTTTCAGAGTCAGAATATGGTCACCCTATGCTGGATTTTTTTGGCAAGAGACCTGTTGGGACTCAGCTACATTGTCAAAAATGTCTGTAGGGCTACAGAAGAGGAAGATGAAGAATTACTATCAGGGTTGCAATTGTTTACAAATAAGAAGTTTGTAGAGGTGTTTTGCTTGGGGCTCTCATCTCTCAGGTGTCTTTTCTGCCACCTTCGATATAGTTGCTCACCTTTTTCTCACTTATTTACCTGTTTCAATAAAAACCAGTCTCGAGGTGGGCGATGCTGGAGCCGCCATCTGTGTCATTCAGAAGTGCCCTATTTAGGGCAGCTAATTCATCATGGCCTGAGAGCGTACATACGGTACATATAATTACCCCCCCAATGCAAACAAGACCCTCACGGTCCCTGTGATTTATTGTCGTGTCAAGGGAGAGGAGTCACAGAAACGAGGAGGAGAGGATTTGAGGAGAGGAGCGTGGGGGGATAGAGGTGTGAACAGGCATAGGTACTATGAGAAGAGAGAGTTATGAGACATCGGAGTACTGATGTTGCTCAAGAAATCCTTGGGTGAGACAATAGTTTCTGCATGTCAAAGTCAAGGATCTCCTGCACCGCCTTCATTTTTATCCTTCTCAGTACATTCAGTAAAAGTCCTCAAGGCTTCACACTTTTCATTTAAGACTCATATTCACTATGACTCTCAAAGACAGCAGCTTTGGTACAGCTGACACGAAGACGTCGCTTCTGCCGTTGTTTTTCCCGATGCCCTTTGTGGCACCTTTTTTTGAAAGTGTCTCACTGTCCTGTTTCCGTGGCGATGGTATTGTACTGGCGAAGGCCAATGAGATGGCTGTGCAAGTGAAAATGCTCAAAAAAGCAGAGGGAGATGGAGGAGACGAGGGTAACAATGAAAGATTTATGACAGGCATTGAGAGCAGGCGGAGGTTTTATCAGGCTATTATCAACCAAATCGCCCCCACTGAGATGTAGCACATATCCACTCTGTTCTGCACTCTCTCTGCTCTGCAGCTCCACTCACTTTCTTTTCAGATCAATGCTCGCCCCTGCCGCCGTCAACATACATAACTCTACACTCCCAACCTTACCTTTAGCCGTTCACTCTTTTACTTTTTCTCCGTCAGTATTTACCTACCCCTCACCTTTCCCCCTTTCTTCCTTCTTGTCTCTTTGACTCTGTGTCTCCTGCTCAGTCGACCCTCGTGCCTCTCTTTTTTTCTTTCGCTCAGTCTTGTCTCTCTGCTTTATTGCTCTCCTCTTCTCCCTCTCTTTCTCCCACCCTTACCCACAAGAGTATTTTCTGTCTACTTTGCTTACGCTGTCTGTTTTCCCTCCAACTGCATGCCTCTTAGTAAATGGCACTTCTCTCTTACCCAACCTCATCCTAACTCGCTCCCACCCTATTGTGCCTCCCCTCTCCTCCCTCCCTCCCTCTCCTCCTCCTCCTTTGGAGAAAAAGCTAGGCACCTAAGGGTGAGCAGGTTAATGTTCTGGCAGTTTGAGATACACTTGTGACATTTCAATCCGGCATCTGTTTTTATCGCCGCTGATTTAAGAAGTGCGGGGGTGTGCAGGGGGGTAATGGAGGGATGAAAGGGGGGAAAGGAGAAGGAGGGGGAGAACTCATGGGATGGTGCAGCTACCCAGAGAGTGTGGACTGTGCATAAGGAGCAGCAGGGGCTGTGGGCCTGCAGTAGTGAGATCAGTTAATACATAGAAGAATATGGTAATGTCGCCCCCAAGTGGCGGGTGGTGGAACTCAAACTGCGGCAGTCCAGCAGAGCAAATAACAGCATGAATTCTTCAGGTAGTGGAGATGGAGAGAAGCAAAATGCAAGCATGCTTGAAAACACTTGCTTTTATGTGCGCATGGTATTATAGAGTAATCTGTATTCAACTGGGTGTCCATTATGACCTTTGGAGGGAATAATAAAAGAATGCAAAGAATTGATTAGACTGTAGGAAGCTGCAGAGATGATTACAGAATGAAGCAGAGAATGTCATAAGAAGGAAATAGATTGTGGCAGAGCAAGAGAGGCCAGGTGAGGACGATTGCAGAGCCGAGGGAGAAACACAGCTGAGGTGGAGGTAGATGAGAAATACACAGGAGAATAGCACAAACCCCCCAGATTTTGAGAGAGGGGAGAAGCTCGAGAATGTGCTAAAAAGGGAGAGAGCTCCAGACGTTCAATCAAGTGAGAAGAAGAGGAAAAAGGGGGGGGATACAGAGATGGAGGGGACAACCAGACTTCCAGTGAGCTGAAAGTGATTGAGACAAGAAAGGAAAGTGGGAAAAAAGATATGACAGAATAAGTGAATTAGGAGAAACTGTGCTGTCAATAATGAGCTGTTGGGGATTGGGAGGGGAAGGGGGAGGACAGATGTGAGATGGAGGGGAGGGTACCTGGTTGGTGGGATATTACCACACCATACCGTCACCCGGTGCTTTCGCTGAAGTTTTATTTGATATCAATTCAATAAGCGGCAGCAGATCTCCGTGCCCCGGGTGTAATTACGGCGAGAACAGCAGAGGCATTGTGAGCTTTGCTGCTGCCTAAACGCCCCCTCCCTTCTCGCTTCCAGGTCAGCGCTGATCTTATCCGAGAATGTCAATTATCATCTTATACGCCATCTGAGGAGCAAGGGTAAGAGAAGGGGAAGGGGAGGGCTTGAGAACAATGACAAGTAGGAAGTGAGGGAGGAAATATTTGCTGAACGCCGTAGCTTAAGAGTAAGAAGAGGAAAAGTACCAAGGATAAGGCCAGAGGCGAGAATACTAATGGGATCTTCTTTGTTCTTTAATACAAGATAAAAGGAGTAAGAGAAAGATAGAAAGTATTCCCTTCGCCACTTCACTGACTCCCACATCATCTTGGACATATCACATCTTCTGCGGCACGGCAAAGATGAACCGAGGTTAGTGGCGAGGGGACAGCCCTACTACCTCGATTTAATGTCCATGTTGGGGAATTTGCCCCTTAGTCTGGTCTAGTGAAAAGATGAATTTATCTGTGGAAAGAACAAAGCTATTCTCTCCTCATGTATCTCTCTTCTTTTCAATGCCAATGCGCAATGCTAATGAAGGGAGTAGTTTTTATTTCTTGTGGTGCAGAGGAAAAAAAGAGAGTTAGCAGTGCAGTAAGAGTGCAGTGGTCTTGGTTGTTGAAAGGCTGTTGATCTGACTAACATTTATGCCCTACAGGCTTGACATTAACAATGGAGTATTGATTAATAAGCTGGTTGAGCCAATAAGTCTCCAAAGAACTTTATTGTCTGCGTAGATTATACAAAGCTAATGCCAGCTAGCTTATGCCAAAGACTGGGAAAGCAAAACCAGCCAACTCGGCTGTCAAATAGGAGGAAAATATGCCTACAAGCTCCAGTAAAATTCATTAATTCACACATTGAATCCCCTCAGAAACTGAAACATACAAACAACAGGTTGTAAAATGTAAGTCTATTCTTTGTATCACTCTTCAAGTGTGTCTGCCAAGCTAAGCTACGAAGCTCACTGTAGAGCTTCATGTTTATCTTATAGACACAGGAATTGTATCCATCTCAAGGAAGCAGAGTGAGGCACTTTATAAAAACACAAAAGTTGGAAAATATTCTGTATTCCTTTTTTTTTCTATGACGTCAATGGGCACACACGCCAAACCTGTCGCCACAATAAACTGGTTTAAAACTGATGAAATTGTCTGGCTACTTTCTTTTGTATTTTGGTTTTTACCCACATTAGTATGCTACTTGAATCCTTGGTTGACCTCATCCCACACCTTAGTAACACTGAATCTTGGGACACTGTGTCCCACAATTTCAGTGCATCTCAGAAAGTGACATTTCACGCCAGCCTTACACAGAAATCGCAGCCAAATGTGTGAAGGTGAGAGTCTGAACTCATCTCTCTCTCTTTCTCTCTCTCTCTTCATTCTTCACACAGCAACTTCTGTAGTCCTGTCTTTTTATGTACAAATATGTGCAGTGCTGTGAAGTCTTCCAGGAGACACTGTCTGATCAGCTCTGCCATGTCGCTCTTTTTGTAGCGTACAGAAGTCACACAAACACTGAATCCAACTTGATATTTGATCTGTTTTTTGTTGATCTTATACTTGTCGTCAGTCCATGTTTTGTAGTACTCGAAGATTTCTCCCAGAACTCCAGCCTGCTGTACTTTGTCACAGACGTTCAAACTTATTCACATCACCCCTTACAGTTCTTCATCCATCTTTTCTTTCCCACCTTGAACACTAATTGTAGGCAGTTGTTTGTCTCCTTTGCTCTTCCTGTTGCTATTTCGTTGAGTCTTTGTCATCCTTTTTGTTTTGTTTTCATTCATGATGACTCCCCGTCATTCTTCATCCATTCAAAACTACCAAGGTCTACTCTCTTTGTCTCTCAAAGTGCGTCTTTGCTCTAGATTGCTTGGTAGCTTTGATAACGCCTTCACACTGTGTGTTTATGCTGATTGTGGCGAGTCCAGCTTCCATAATATTTCGGAGTACACATGCCTCTGATGCATGCACATACTGAAAATGCTTTTGCACTGTATGGAGCCAGCTGCCAGGGAGGTTTTTCAGAATGGTAACGTGACTTATAATCACATCTAATGCATGTTATTTAATTTAAACCTAGCAACTACATCTCTTAAAGGCATTCCGCCCATTTTCAGTCAACAGCAGTAATACACATGACATACAGATTAACTGTGATCCTCGTGTTAAGTGTCTGTATCCATCTGTCCAAGCATCCATCACCGGTTCAATCCACCCATCAATCCGGCCTCAAAGAAGCCCGCTCATCCCCCTTAACGCTTCCTTTCCTCACTCTCTTTGCCCACCCCCACCTCCTCGGTGGGTGCCGATGGGAGGGGTCCACCCTTGATCTGCACTCTGAACAAACAGCCTGGTAAACATCATGAAACATTTAGAGGAAGCAGAGCAGCCTTCTCTCTAATTCACACTGGCAACCCGGAGATGCACAAAAACAGCTGCTCCCCAGAGCTCGCCCCAGAAGAGGGGCTTCGGTTAATGCACGTACGCGTGTGCTTCCTATGCCTTAACTTGATGAGGGAATTTGGATGCGTGCAGGAAGACTGGGCGAGAGTTTGTGTGCATATGTATTGTGATTATATGTATGTATAGTTATCAGGGGTTTAACTGGCAGCAGAGGTCTTTGGTTTGAAATAAAAATCACTCCCTGCACTGCGGAAGAAGTTCGGATCAGTGTTCAGATTAGTATGTTTGCTAAGTGCCTCATAGGGAAGAAGAACAAATGAACAGATTAGAATCTCGATTTGCTCGGCTGGAGGTCTGAGCTAATGCCTTGTACTAAACAAAAGCCTCCTCTCTGATTCCCTTTCACCCCCGAACACAAGACTTTATTATGTTTAATATTTGTAGTCATTTGTAGGAGTGGATTACCCCAGTGGTTGGGTAAATAAAGAAAAATCTGCCTTCAGAGCTCACCTGGGATTATCATAGGTGACCTGAATGTATGTCAGTTTCTCGCTAAGTGAAATGTCCCATTAATACAATTCCCCTGCTAGTGGTATTTCGCCAAATTTCAAATTTGTCCCCTCGAAAAATGACTCATCATTTTTTGTCATAAGCTGATCACCGACAAAATACAGTTTTCCCCCTAGGCCACACATTTTAAGCCGGTGGACATTTTCTCTTCTCCTCTCTGTCCTGTCTTTTGGCTGTGAAATATCCATTAAAATCAATGAATAATGAATTAAGGCATGCAGCCTCTTACTCCCTTTAATAAAATGTAGCAAGCGGAACAGCTTATTCAGTAATGTCACGCATAATTAGCCGTGCTGCCTAGACCACCTTCATGCAGTAATCTTTCGAGACCTGACCTGCATTCTGTTTCTCACCCCCTCCTCCCCTCTCCCTTGTTCTTCGCTCATCTCTCCTATTCTCCTCTCTATTTCTCTCACTGCGTCTCTTTTTTACTCATTTGGATTTTGT